ACCAGAATACAAATGTGTTGTTTTAGAAAGGTCTGATTTTACAGAAACAGTTGATTTGATACGACCTTTACATGTGACCTGCCATCGTTAAAGGTGGGCTATCACACAATTGCTAGTACCTCACTCACATTTTTTTTTCCGTTGACCCTTTATTTATACAGGTAGTCTCATTGAGCCATGATAACTCATTTTCAAGAGAGACCTGTTTAGGGAGCAGATGGTGAGGGTTAAGGGCCTTGCTCGGCGGCCCAGAGTGGGGCGAATGAGGGTGGAGGGAGGTGTGGGTGTTCCACCTTTTCCACCCACATTTTGATGTCGATGGTACCGGGAGTTGAACCTGCGACTTTCCAATCACAAGCCCATCTTCTAACCTCTGCGCCACCACTCCCCCCACCTTTAGTGTTTAAATCTCAGATTGTTAGCTTAATCACAGATGGATACGTTGAGAAATAGTATATGCACAAAGTACTTGTGAAGTACAGGTTGAGCAGGGTGTGCCATGTCTGTTGTTAAATCTATGGGTGTTCACACCAACGCCTCAAGTTCGGACCTTAGTGTTCCTGGTTTAGTAACGCTAGTATTGCTTTGTGATGTTCCTCAGCTTCTATCATCAGCCTATACATTTCTGACACTCCAGTTTCCTTCCTTTCTACGATGCTATATGCCACAGATTGGTTCCTTTCCCATAGATACACATGCAGTCTTGCCTCTTGTGTTGCATGCGCTTTGTGCTCTCTACACATAGAGTAGAATGTCAGACATGCTTCTGACTCGCAGGACACACACATAGAGCAAGTGTGAAGTATTGTGTAGAACATCTGAGGCTAAAGCTACATTCAAGAGTGCAGAAGATGTGGAGACGCAAGTCTTGCAAAGTGAGGGTGGTGACTACTTTAACAGAAGGCACCGACCATATGTTCCATATGTGGGTGTCACAAATCTGGTTGTCTTGAAACCCAAGGTGCAAGCAGGACTCAGAGAAAAGTCAGTTAATAAAACAAAAATGATTTATTACCCAAATGAAAACTGCTGACAGGGCAGCAACTCTACTTACAAAACCCACTGAAGGCTAGACGTAGGAGGGACTGAGACGGTGTAACCATTACATTTAATGCTCCACTACTGAGAAACAGGAGACTCAAACATTTAAAGGGTGACACAAATTACAGAAATGCCAAACACCTGGTGAGGAGACAAACTGGTGAGCAGGGCAGGCACGGTTTCCCACCGTGGGAGGTTCTTGCACGCCCGGATTGGCCTGGTAACTCATCTCCGGACACACAAACCCAGACCAAGTGTAAAACCTTGACCGTCAATGGTCATTTTCACGATGCGATGGACGAACATCACTTCTGAGCCACGCCGATAGTACAGTGTCTGCTTGTTGCTCCTGCTTCTTACTGTTGCAACGCCCCTACTGCCGTAGCTGTTCTCCTGTCTTGGTTCAGGTGTGCACAAGAAGTACATGTTTTGTACTTAGGGCTTTTGGTCTAGAATTTTAGCAAGACCTGTAGAAATGTGAGTGCAAGACCAAAAGTCTAGATGATAAAACCGCACCCTTCTACAGGACTAAACTCAGGCCACACACATTTAAAGTCCAGTATAGCCAAGTATTTCTCTTTAGACTGCCTGTAGGATCACTTACAGCAAATTGTGGGTGCAGCAACAGCAAAATATGTCATGAAGCAATGGGTTTTAGTCACACAAAGTAAATATTGAATGTGCATCTACCATTGGTTGGTGCAAACCGGGTCAAAATGACCACCACAGGTAATTAACCAAAGCTAATAAAAAACAAAAGTATAATTTGGTCAAATTTACTCATATTGATACAACGTTTAGTTTAAGAGTCATCCCATCAGATACTCTGAGCACCAACAGCACAAATAAATTTAGTTTTATACTTTCACATGCAAGGCAGAAGGCAATATTCATTCCTTCAAGAATTCCTGGTTTCAGTTTTTACTCTTTTGTTCTTTGGTCACTCGTTTTCTGTCAGCTATTTCATTTTTAAACCTCAGTCCCCACTGTGAGGCATCCAACCTCAACACCGACTCAGTCCTTACTGAGTTGAAGAGTGCAGACTTTTAAAAATAAATTCATCCTGGTTGTTGTTTTTGCTGACTAATAAGACTTTCAAGTACATAAAAGAACTCCCAACAGCAATTTATAAGTCTTGTACAAATATGCTGCGTAATCGGTGACTGACTTTCTGTTTTTAGTTTGGCTCAATATTAGATCATGTTTTGTTAAAATTTAGGTTTTCTTCACTGCTCCAGTTCCATAAGTGGTCTGAGGACAAAATGAAACTGTAGCTGCTGCAGCCGAGGCTGAAAGAGCTCATTTTCTTTGTTGACCTTTTCTGACACTGGTTGGACTAAAGCCACCCAGCTGAGATGGAGCTGACTTTTCTTTCATTACCTCCTTCAAAGAACAAAGGAGCTAAAGGTGTCATATTTAGGAAACAATGTATGATTTGCTGCTAAACTTAGAGTTTTTATTATTTTTATGTTACAGTTTTCAAACCGCGCTTCACTAGTACATAATTTTATGTATTTAAATAACTTGTTTTAATCTCCTTGTTAGTCCACAGCTTAATGTTTTGTATTTTTGATTGGAAAGATTGCAGTGCAAGAACCGTCTCATTGATCAGAGTCAGAGTCAGAGTTTCTTTATTGTCATTCGCACCTCATGTGGTACATGTGGTGGAGCGAAATTATGTACACAAGGTCCCAGTTACATCCAACAATAAAATGTATAAGAAAAACAGTAATAACATCTAAGATCAGAGTCAGAGTTTCTTTATTGTCATTCGCACCTCATGTGGTACATGTGGTGGAGCGAAATTATGTACACAGGGTCCCAGTTACATCCAACAATAAAATGTATAAGAAAAACAGTAATGACATCTAAGATATGAACTAAGAAAAACATCAACTAAATATACACTAAGCACTCATAACATAAAACATTGAACATCAGCACAAACATGAACATGAGTCTGTGAGCAGATGTGCACGCATGAACACATCAACATTGAAACAGATCAGCAGCAACATGAAACATATCAGCAGCAACATGATATGGTTTTTCACAGTGATTATTCTAGTTAGAGATTCATGAGTCTAACAGCCTCAGGGTAGAAGCTGTTCCTCAGTCTAGTGGTTCTACATTTAATGCTCCTTAACCTCCTTCCTGAGGGGAGTGGGGCAAAAAGTGTGTGTGCTGGGTGGGTGGGGTCCTTCATGATGCAGGTGGCCCTCTTCCTGCATCTGGAGGTGTAGATGTCTGGTTGGATATGAACTAAGATATGAAGATATGAACTAAGAAAAACATCAACTAAATATACACTAAGCACTCATAACATAAAACATTGAACATCAGCACAAACATGAACATGAGTCTGTGAGCAGATGTGCACGCATGAACACATCAACATTGAAACAGATCAGCAGCAACATGAAACAGATCAGCAGCAACATGATATGGTTTTTCACAGTGATTATTCTAGTTAGAGATTCATGAGTCTAACAGCCTCAGGGTAGAAGCTGTTCCTCAGTCTAGTGGTTCTACACTTAATGCTCCTTAACCTCCTTCCTGAGGGGAGTGGGGCAAAAAGTGTGTGTACTGGGTGAGTGGGGTCCTTCATGATGCAGGTGGCCCTCTTCCTGCATCTGGAGGTGTAGATGTTTGTGATGGTGGGGAGGCTGATTCCGACAGATTTCTGTGCAGCCTTCACCACTCTCTGCAAAGCTTTTCTTTCTGCAGCTGTGCAGCCTCCATGCCACACATTGATGCTCGAGCACAGGATGCTCTCCACTGCACACATGTAGAAGGAGGTGAGGACTGAGCTTCCCAGACCAGCTCGTCTCAGCCGTCTGAGGAAGTAGAGTCTCTGATGAGCTTTCTTGATCAGGCTGAGTTAGAATAGAATATAGAATAGAATAAAACCTTTTTTATTAACAATCATTTTATTCTTCTTTTTTTGTCTACAAATTTCACATTATCATGACTTCTATTCAACATGTGTTGCATCATGTTTGAAATACTGTAATATACAATTTATTGGCAAAACAAATCTGCATTAAATGCTCATTAAATGTCTTTTTGGAGTTCAGCTTTTCATGAAAAGCAGCAGTTTGACACAAAACTTAGTTGATTTTCATTCTGCATCCAATTTGTTTTGTACCACCATGGCAGCCTGCTGTGTGAAGAATAATCAGCGTCGTCTACATGTTTGTTTTTAGCAATAGCATGTTCCAGATCTACGCTGATACAATCAACCGGTCAGCTCTTCTGTCAGACCAGTCACTGTACAGTTTGTTCACCAAGTAACTGCATGAGATCCTCATCCTTTGAAGCAGGAATTTAAAAAAATACTCAGCAAATTAATCACCTGCCATCCTCTATGCCAAAGTTTTGAGCCATTAGTGAGTGCTCAGAATTTAAACTGGAGATCAAAAAAAGTCCATGCTCAATAATCCAGGTGTACAATCCAACAATTTTCAGTCATGTCATCTGGACATTTCAGAAAAAAAAAAAAAAAAAGAAACTGTCCAGACCTGACTGAAAATTGTTGGATAAATTGGAGATAACTCTCAGCTACTACCACACCAAACTTTAGCTCATTTTTTCTGAAAATGCTTGTTTGCTACGGTCAGTTACGTATGGTGGCCATCTTGAATTTAGTTGATCCCAAAATTTAATTAGTTGTTGATGTAGATCCAGGGTTATTAATCAAATCTCTCCCCTAGTTTATAAGATATTTTGCTAACAGACAAAAGATTGAGCACATACATTTGCATGAATTACATGAAAATAAAACGTTTTATGAACCGCAGCTCCTGTGGGTGGACACAAACAAGAAGACAAACTGTTGTAAGATCCACGATAACGTTAAAAAGCTGCTGTTACAATTAAGCCTTTTTATGCGTTTTAAAGGAGTAACTAGTTTTTATAACTGAGTCCTTTTTTTTTCCTGTGGTGCTCTTGATTGACAGAGGTGTGTGATGGCACGCTGGTGTCCAACCTGCCGCCGTCGTCCTTCAGGAGCTCCTCCCAGCTGTCCAGCAGCCATGCGCCGGGTTTCGCCAAACTCAACAGGAGAGATGGTAAGTAGGAGGGTTTGGTGATGCGTGTGAAGCTAACGGGGCTCGAGGCAGATAAAGATTTAATTGCTGTGAGCATCAGGGTCTGATATGTTGTTTATTCTTGTCACGTTTCGAAGAGGAGACATGAGGATGAAGATGTGAATGTGAGTCTGGTAAAGACCGGGATCAGAGTCCCAAAGAGACAAAGCTTTATTTAAGAGCCGGACACAGAGTCCAAATGTAAACACAACTAACAGACAATCTCACTGGATTTATAAAACTAAAAGGTAATTTTCTAGTTAGGATAGCTTTGCTAATATAAGTTAAAAAAAGGTGAAACTGAACTGCTAAGGCAAATAGTGGCAGTGCATGAGCTAAAACTAAAAGAACGCTTGCTTAAAATGGCAAAGCACTAGCTTCATGCTAAATGTAGCGAAGGCCTAACTAGCAGCTAAAAGTAGCCAAAGGGTAGCAGAAAACTTCAAAACAGTGGCTAGTCAAGTTTATTTATAAAGCACATTTAAAAATAGCAGCTATTACCAAAGTGCTTAACAATAAAATCAATGGCAGTAATTAAAGAAAAAATAGTAACAATGTAACTGTCTGAGGAGCTGCAACAAACTCAGTCCCACCTTCCCATCAGAACCAGTCAACCAGTTTGATGGCGCTCAGACCCACTATGTGAAGGTGCCATTTATAAGATGAGTTTGTTGTGTCATTGGACTGATGAAGTCCTTTGGATGAAAGACGACACGTTTCAACACAAAGAACCCATCCAGAGGACCTGACTTAACTTTGTTGGAAAGCACTGATTGTTTTTATCCTGCGGGTTCTGTTTGTATCGAAGGTTTATACGAGGAGGGTTCTGGAAAGGTGGACAATGTTTGAGTCCGTATGAAAACTGTGGGAATGCTGACAATAAAAATATGGTTTCACGTCTTTATCTCAACATCAGAGCCCAGAATCAACTGGATGATTTCAATCTGAACTATTTTTACTTCATAAGAAGTTAAAAGACTCACGGTCCTCGGATGATTTACGAGCTCAGATTGTGATTCTTCGTCTTTGTCTGCTTTCTATTCGATCCGATTGAAGAAGGAACTGTGAATCCTGTGACAATATACTGTATAATCTGTCTGCGCATAACATTTAGGAGGACGGATCATGTTCTTTGAGTTTGGTAGAACTCAGACCGTAATTCATTAAAGTTACATTTGACTCGGTGCTTCAGTTAGTGAACACCACTCTGGTTCTCCAGTCAAACTGTAAGAGCTCATTTTGACTGCTGCCCTTTCCCGACACGTTCTGCTCTAACGCCACCTTTCTGTAATGAGGCTGACATTTCCTGGAGTTTCATTACCTCTTACAAGACAAACCAAAGGCGCCCCACGTGAAACATGTGCAGGTAAAACTAAAGACCATTTAGATTTTTGAGTTTTCAGTTGTCCTCCTGATCCATCACACACAGTAACCTTTGATTTTCTGCTCGGATGTTTTCACTTGTTTTGCTCAAATTTTGGAATTTAAAAGCAACTTTTCAATGGAAATGCATCATTAAAACCTCGATAGATTTTAGAAGGTTGAAAACATACTATTAAAGTTAAATACTTTGTTAGACTTGAATTTAAAAGAAGCACTTCCTGCACCAATATTTTAAGTTTTGCAGGTTTTCAAGATTAAAACGGTCGTGCCAGACGTTACACTATAGTTCCTGTTTTTAAATGCAAACTTTTTATTAGTCTAGTTTTTATTTGTTTTCATGAAGTCACAAAGTTGAGCATAAAACATTGTTTTAGTAAATTAACCAAACTTTTACTGAGGTCTGAAAGCATAATTACATTGTTAGTTTTGTGTTACAGTCACAGTTCTGAAAATCCAAGTTGTTCAAATGTCAAAAATATATTAATTAGTCTCATCAGTGTCCTGACAGTAAACAGCTGTGAGTACGTCTGAGAAGAACGATTGAAAATTAAAAACATTTGATCAGAAAGAAGAACAAGGGTTTAAAAGCTGCTGTCTTAGTTTATAATTAATTCTTAAAATAGTTCATGGGAATAGTAGAGCTCTTTTTTAGTTACTGAAGGCCAAGAACACGGGAACAAATGTATCTGATGTAGTGTAGTACGGCTTCTAGAAAACAAAATCTTCTCATCTTTGCATCTGTTTTGTTGTTGTTGTTGTTGTTGTTGTTGTTGTTGCCTGATGCGCTTTTAAGGGTCACAGAGACACTATTACCAATCTCCAGAGGTTATCATGTGAGAGACAGGGGACACCCTGGGCAGGTCTCAAGTCCATCACATAGAGACAACCGAGACATCTACTGATCTAAAATAATCCACATCTACTGTTGATTTCCAAAAGAAGCAAAGGTTGAGGGTTTTGACGTATCATTCACAGTTTCTCTAAGTAAACTGGTAATTACAGTAGGAAAAACACTGACATATATTCAACAAAGTTGTCAGGTCCTCTGGACGGTTTCTTTTTTTATTTTCTGAAATGTTTCGTCTTTCATCCAAAGGACTTCATCAGTCCGAAGAGGCACAACAAGTCAGCCCCATAAGCAGCACACTCCCATAGTGGGCCAACCAGTTTGATAGAGATAAGATGGTTTCTTGACAGGAAATGACTTAACTTTGTTGATTATTTTTTTTTACCTGGATTACTGAGCATGAACTTTGATGTTTTGAACTACTTTGGCCATGGCTGCCTCAAAGGAGTTGACGGGGGAGAGGGCGGATTCCAGAAACCATCTTATCACCATCAAACTGGTTGGCCCACTATGTGAGTGTGCTGCTTGTGGGACTGTTTGTTGTGGCTCCTTGGACTGATGAAGTCCTTTGGATGAAGGATGAAACGTTTCAACAAAAAAAAGAAACCATCCAGAGGACCTGACTTAACTTTGTTGGATTTTTTTACCTGAATTATTGAGCATGAACTTTGGTGTTTTGAATTGGCATATATATATTTACGGCAGCAGCTATGTTGGATTTTGATGAAGTAGTCAAAGTCAAAGTCACTTTATTGTCAAAACTGCAATATGTACAGGGCATACACAGGATTGAAGTTACATTACTCTCAGACCCCTGGTGCAACAATAACCATTTAACATTAAACAATTTAATAAACATATGCATAAAATGAAATAATAAAAGTATGATACTGTCTTAAATTGTAGTATGGCGGTATAAAAATATTTTAAAAAGTTTATCTATAAAATAAAATGAAATGAAGTGAAGGTCCTGACATTGACATTTGTAAGTGGCAAAGCAGCATATGAAGTGAATGTACAAAGTATATGTATGAAGTCCTTGATGATGGTGTATGTAAAGTGACATATGCAATAAGGCTAGTAAAAATATCTATATATATAAACAGTAGTGTAATATCAACAGTAGTGTGGATATAAACAGTAGTATGAATATAAACAGTAGTATGAATATATACAGTAGAATGAATATAAACAGTAGTGTGAATATAAACAGTAGTGTGAATATAAA